GGGAGAGAGGAGGAGGAGAAGGAGGAGGATGAGGAGGAAGAGGAGGGGGAGGAGGGGAGGACGAGGAGGAGGAGGAGGGGAGGAGGGGAGGAGGAGGAGGAGGAGGAGGAGGAGGAGGAGGAGGAGGAGGAGGAGGATGAGAAGAAGGCTGACGAGCAGGAGAGGGAGGAGGACGAGGGGGAGGAGGCACGAGCCCCGAGCGCCTGCCCAGCGCGCCATGCGCCAGGCCGCCGAAGACACGGCGAGCAGTCCTGCCGCACCTGTCCGGCAGTGCTGCCCTCCCTCCCGCTGCATTCAGGGGGCGGCTGCAAGTCGGGCCTGTCCCTCTACAGGAGGAACACCGAAGTCAAACAAAACATAGTCTGGGGACGACGCTTCGATGATGTGTGCATCTTATTTTTTCAGTGTGTTTTGCCTGTTTTCGTCATTTTTCTCCCCAAGTCCGCCTGTAGGGGGACACGCCCGACCTAGGGATTGCTGTCAGTGGCCCTCTCCCCCAAAAATGCCTACAGCTGTCCGCGGCGCTCTGGAGCCCCCCCGGGGGGGGCCCTCTGTTCCTCGTGGCGGGTTGTGCTCGGAAGGCCATCGGAGAAGGCCACCTGGGCCTCCCCGGAGAAGGTCCCGCGGTCGCCCGGGGCCCGGGACGCCCGTGGCAACACCCGAATCTTCGCGGTATATATATATATATATACATATATATACATATATATATATATACATATATATGTATCTATATCTATATATATACATACATTTCATATATATATATTTGTATGTATAGATATCGGTGTGTATATATATATATATATGCATATATATATATATATATATATGTGACGAGTTGTACCTATGCGACCACCCTTCGGGCGATAAGGAGGTCGGGGGGGAGAATCAGGGGTGGATAGACCTCCTTCCCTGACACGTCGATTATGGAATTGGCCGTTTTCGTTTCGCGAGAGGGCGTCGCGGCCGTCATTTCTGCGGGTCCAGGTCCGTCGGTTTCGGTCCTAGGCCGTTTTCGATAAGCGGAGGTTTTATAAAGGGAGGTCTGTCCACCGCCGATATATGACGAGTTGTACCTATGCGAGCACCCTTCGGGCGATAAGGAGGTCTGGGGGGAGAACCAGTTGCTGGCAGATATGCGACGTGTGTGGTGGAGACGATGCTGGTGACGCGCGCTCGAGTCGGCGGCGACGTGCGATAACGATGTTGCGCTGCGATGTAGTGTCACTATCGTCCCCGCTTTCTGTTTCACAGCCAATGCCGCAGTCATCAACCTCATTGTCGATCTCACTTGTGATCTCACCACCCATCATATTTCAGCTATCTCATTATCGATGCCACTATCGACTTCACCATCGATACTTAGGCGGGACCCCCCCAGCCACCTCCCGCCCACCGCCGACGGAATGCCGACGGGGCACCAACGGGACACCGACGGGACAGCACGGCGGGACACCCTGGGCCACCGCGCGCCCACCGGAGGCGGAGGGGCGGTCCTTTGCGTCCCAATCGCCCTAGCGACGGCGGGGTCATTACTCTCGCCCGCCCACGCAGCTTCGCCTCGCCCGCACGCACGACACGAACACCAAACTCAAACTGATTTCCTGGTGGAGGGCTCTCCGTCCCACTGCGATCTCACCCCCCAACCTCCGATTTCGCCGTTGTCTTCCACAAGCATGCTAACTTTGAGGTTTGGGGGAAAGGGGGAGTGCTCCTTGATTGTTTCCGTCGCCCATCTCCCCTGCACACGCGCCAGCCAGGTGCGGGCGATGCTCATCTACGACGGCGTGGCCAAGGTCGTCGAGCCCAAGAAGCAGGCCCTGGCTAAGGCGGAATCGGAGCTGGCGGAGGCCAACTCCTCGCTCGCGGTGAAGAAG